CGTTTTTTCTCGTACAGCTCCATGAGTTCGAGCAAACCCCTCTCGGGAGCGGACGCCCCCAGGGGGGGGCAGCAGCATCCCTTGAGGATCCACGTCCCGCCAGCGCCCGTGCCAGGGGGAACTGCAATTGAGAATTTCTGCCGCCGCCGCTTCCGCCGCCGCCGCAACCGTCGTCGTCGTCGTCGTCGTCGTCGTCGTCGTCGTCGTCGTCGTCGTCGTCGTCGTCGTCGTCGTCGTCGTCTCTGGCGCCGTCGTCGTCGTCGTCGCTTGCGCCGTCGTCGTCGTCGTCGTCGTCGCCGTCGCCCTGGTTACCGTCTTGGTCGTCGTCGCCCTGGTCGTCGTCGTCGTCGTCCGTCGTCGTCGTCCGTCGTCGTCGTCGTCGTCGTCGTCGTCGTCGTCGTCTTCGTCGTCGTCGTCGTCGTCGTCCGTCGTCGTTGTCTTCGTCGTCGTCGTCGTCCGTCGTCGTTGTCGTCGTCGTCGTCGTCGTCGTCGCCCTGGTCGTCGTCGTCGTCGCCGTCGTGGCTCCCAGCTCCATCCCGACATCCTCGAGATCGACATCATTCCCGGCATGGAGATCAAGGATGGGCACGCGCGGGCGGCGGCTCGCCCATGCCCGCCGGCGGCACTCCTTGCCCTCCGTCTGCTCCCCGCCCCGCTCTCCCGTTTCCCTCCTCCGCTCCCCCTCCCTTGCCTCTTTTTTTCACTCCTCCTCCTGCTCCCCCCTTCTCCCTTCTCCCTCCTCCTCCTCCTCCTGTTTTGTTTCCCCGTGGCCTGCAGGGTGGCTGTCTCGGGCTCAGCGTACCATCGGATCATTGGCGCTGCTCTGCTCTCTGCTCTCCTCCTCCTCCTCCTCCTCCTCCTTCATTCCTTTTTCTGATCGATACTTCCTCCCTGTCACACCCCGAGGCTGTTCGAAAGGGCGGGCTGGGCGTTTCGCCTGAGACGTCCTCAGAATTTGCGACCTTTGTGCTTACAAATTGACAACAGTTTCACAGATGGAGGGCGGGTGGTTTTCAAAATGTGGTTCTCGTTTGAGCGCCGCGCACATTCGCTTCAACATTTGCAAGAGTTTCACGGATTGAAGGCGGGCCGTTTTTAAAATGTCGCTCTTGCCTGAGCGCCGCGCACAGTCGTTTTACAAGTTTGTAGGAGTTTCACGGATTGAGGGCGGTTCGTTTTCAACATGTGATTTTCGCTTATGCGTCGCACACATTCGATTTTATTAATCACTTGTAAGAGTTTCACTGATTCTCATGTTTAACGTACCAGGAATGGTGCATGGTGTTTCGGAAAGGCTCAGGATTGTCAGGGCGCATGAGTTACGTTGATTCGCGGTGTTGAAGTCCCAGGAATGGTGTTCTGACGCGATTCAGGACAGCTAAGACTCAACAATCAGGTTGACTCGTGGCGTTGAAGTCCTGAGAATGGTGTTTTGGCACGCTTCAAGATGTTGACACGGTTGCCCCCCCAACGAGGCAATTCCCTCACTGGGAATGACCCTTGTAGTGGCCTGTGAAGAGGGATCTTGGAGGGAGGGTGTATTTCAACATCGTTGATGGGTCTTTGGTTTACACTGGTCCTCCTCCTCCTTCTCCGCCTCCTCACTCCTCCCTCCTCCCTCCTCCCTCCTCCCTCCGCCCTCCCTCCTCCTCTTCTTCCTCCTTCTCCTCCTCCTCCTCCTCCGCCTCCTCCTCCTCCTCTTTTCTTTTCTGCACATCGAGGACCAGCAGTGGAAGTCGCAGCAGGCAGATGACCAACCAGTAGCAGACCGGCAGAGTACAGCGACGTGGCCAGAGACCCAATTCCAAGGAATTAGGCTGCGACGAGGACGGAGACTTCGGGTACAGGCTCTGAGGATTGGGGACAGTCCTCGACCAGGGTCCCACGCGAGCGCACCAAGGATAGCGCGGCCTCTCTTCCGCAGGACGGGACTGGCAGTCTTGCAGCCTAGCCAGCGAATGGAGAACGCCGCCAAGGACGAATCCGTTGGGCCATTGCTCGGCCACGCGCAGAGGGGGGTGGGGGGAGGGGGGAGGGCTTCTTAGAAGCACCCCTGCTTCTTAGAAGGCGCGGGCCTTCTCTATAGATGTAAGGCCGGTGCCTTCTAAGAAGCAGCCTCCTTCTAAGAAGCCCTCCCCCCTTCCCCCACCCCGTTGTGCGCGCCGCCAAATTGCAAGAACAAGCCAAGGGTGCAGACGTGAGGCCCCCCCATGCCTCCTGGGCCTCCCAGATGGGGTCGGAGGAGATGGGGACGGAGGATCGCGCCGCATCGCCGATGCTTCGCCGATGCGGCTTGATATGGAGCCCGATTTGCTTTACGTCGACGTCGCCGATTTATCGCCCACTTCGACGATCGATGCATCGCTGGTACATCGCCGATGCATCACCAATGTATCGGCGATGCGGCGCGATCCTCCGACCCCATCTACTCCGACCCTATCTAGGAGGCCTCTAGATTTGGCGTCGAGATGGGGGCACGCAGCAGGCAAGGATCAAGCCCGACAGCAAGAGCCAGCAGTACGGAGGGGTGCGAGGCCAGGGGCCACCTCGTTGGCCGCTGCGGCCCCTCGTGCGCCGGGGGTGCGGCGCAGGGGTGTTTCCCCTTTGCCGGCTGCTGCGGCCCCCGCGCCAACCCGTTGGACAGGAACAAGTGCACCAACGGGTAGCACGATACTGACTACGAGCTACAGCTGCTCACGAAGAAGCAGGGACTCTCATGCTCCAGATCCCTACTGCGAGACGCCGACGGCAAGCGGGCGGAGGGCCCGACCAGACCTACACCTCCTCCGACGCAGAGTGAGGAGAACGAGCAGATCGAGACCGGCCCAGGACGAAGCCTCATTCCCACGGGTAGGGGCGAGGGCCCAGCATGGCAGCAGCCTTTACAGATGAAGTGGGCGCCTGAAGCAGGTGGGGAGTACACCAGCTGTTGGATGGAGGACCCCCGAACTCGCCGACGCTGCCAGCCGGCAACGTGTCTGCGTGCCGTTCGTCTCCAACTACCTCGCGCACCCCACCATAAGACCAGTCACCATGGACGCGGCGGAGATGGCGGGACACGGGGACGCTGCAATGGCACCGATGGACTTGGCATCGCTCGGACGTGTGCATTTGGCAGAAAAAAAAAACACGCACGAAACCGAAAAAAGCACAGGGAATGGCCGTCCGAGCAATGGCACCGATGGACATACCATAGCGATCGACATCTGCCGCCGAGCCCTCCGCGCCAGCTGCAGAGCCAGGCGGCGCTGCCACGAGTGGCCACAGGCAGCTCCTGGAGACGTCCCCTGAGCAGTGCGCCCGGCTCATCGCGCAGCACACCCAGGCGATGATCTTACCAGCCTCGAACGTATCCCTATCCCTGAGATTGACACGCCAAAAGGCGATGACAATCTCAGGGATCCGCCCTCAAAAAATAGGGGAATGCCTAAGATTGCCGTCGTGATGAGGAGGTGCCCAGCATAGGGATAGGGATATGTTCCAGGCTGGTAATGATCCGCGACGCAGACACATTGGACCAGGGCGGTGGCACGAGAACCCAGACAACGGGAAGCAGCCCAGCAGAAGCGACCTGCGGACCAGACCGGCCCCCGTCTTGGACCATGACCTCAGCAACCTCGAGGCGAGAACCGAAGCATGCGGCGAAGCGAGACCGCACCGAGGTACAGCCAGACCAGGTAGATCAGGTCGAGGACACCGTGGCCGCGGGCGTGCAGGTGGGACGCGCGAGGCCAACCGAGGATGTCCGAGAGAGCCGCGCGCAGCAGCAGAAGACATTTCGAGCGAGCACCAAGAAAGTACCGAAACCGGAGGGTTTTCTGACGTGTCGGGCCCTGGGAGGCGATACTCGTTCGACACTGTTTCGATACCTTGCTGGGTGCTCGAACTTGTTTCTGGGATGTGGTCTTCAGTACGATGGGAGCAACACAGCTCGAGGCCAGAGTTCGACCGGGATGGTGTGCGCCCAAGGCCAAGGCCGCGCGCAGGACAGCGCGGGCAGCCCAGACAGGCAGAGCACTGGGCGACAGCTGCGGGAGGCAAGGTCCAGCACCAGACCCCGCGGGCGGGGACGGCCAGGACAATGCCAGGAGCATTCGACGAGCGGTGGAGGGCCCGGCGAGGTGGTGGCTCGCTGCAGATGGCAGAGGAGCGCTGCGGAGCTGGAGAGGTGCGTGCGTGCCACACGTGGTCCGCACACTGCAAGCCCAGCGGGGCCAAATCCTCGCTAAGTGCCTGCCGCCCGACGAGCGCGACAGCCGCCTGCGCACCATGGCCGAGGAGATCTGCCAACGAGCATGTTTCAGCAGTGGGCGGAGCCACAGGGCCGCCCGTGCCCAGGCTGTGCCAAGCGGCACCGTCGATGCCAACAAGAGAGCGGTGAACGCGCACATGCTTGTGGCGAACTGCTTCGGGTCGCAGGAAACAGGCGCTTCCCCATGCTAGGCGTGCAGTTTTTGCCGGCAGCTGGACGAGGCCACACACCGCCATGCAGTGGATGTCAAACAAATCGTCATCCTCTTCAGCCGTCCTCCTCCACTTCCTCATGCAATAATGGTTTGCGCCCTTATTACGGCAGCTGGGTGTTACAGTCCGCGCAGGTAATTCTGTGCAGTGCTTCAACTCGTTTGAGTAAGGCTGTCGCCAAGCTGGCGTCCCCCATCGCCGCCACTTCATGCACTTAGGTGGAGAGAGATCTGTAGTGTTGTGGAGGACGATCAATGGAGAGGAAGCATATTGCCAAATAAGTCCCAGATGTCTACAACATGTATTAAACATGCTTTAGACATGGTTACCATGTTCAAACCATGTTTAGAACATGTTTCCTACATTTCAAACACATTTTCCCCTACCTAGGCTCTGCCTAGAAGGGTTCTTACCCTGTATACTTAAAGGGCCGGGCAGTGGAAATCGCCCCGGGCGGTTCCCCCGGCATCCGCCCCGTGGTTCCCCCAGTGACGTCCCTTTAGCTTAGCGTTGCTTATCTCATCTTAGCTTAGCTTATTTCATATTAGCTTAGCTTAGTTTCATCTTAGCTCAGGTTTATCTTAGCTTAGCTTCCCTTCATTGTAGTTTCGCCGAGCTTTAGCATAGCACAGCACAGCATAGCATAGCAGAGCGTAGCACAGCATAGCGCAGCACAGCATACCATAGCATATCATAGCATAGCATAACGCAGCATAGCATAGCATAGCATAGCATAGCGCAGCACAGCACAGCACAGCATAGCACCGCGCAGCATAGCATGGCATAGCAGAGCAGAGCATAGCATCGCACAGCAGCAAAGCAAAGGCAAAGCAACAGCAGCGACAGCAAAGCAAAGCATTAGCATGGGTGTAATTCCCTACCTTGGCTCTGCCTAGAGGGTTAGCTTAGCTTAGCTTAACTTAGCCTAGCATAGCGCAGCGCTGCATTAGCATAACATAGCATAGCATAACATAGCCACGCCTAGCATAGCACAGCATAGCATAGTATAGCGCAGCACAGCACAGCACAGCATAGCATAGCATAGCATAGCATAGCATATCATAGCGCAGCTTAGCATATTATAGCACATCATAGCATAGCTTAGCATACCACATCGCAGCATGACATAGCACAGCTGTGCATATCGCAACATGTCATATCATAGCATAGCACAGCGCAGCATAGCATAGCATAGCATATCATAGCATAGTACAGCATAGCATAGCATAGCATAGCGCAGCATAGCATGGCATAGCATAACATAGCATAGCATAGCAACTAATGCTGCTTTCCTAGGGGCTCCAACTTCTAGGCAGGGTCGCACTGGGGTAATTGAATTCAATGATAGGACTGTTAGGGTGTCCATTGTCGTGGCATCCGCAACTGTAGTGCTGAACATCTTCCCCTTTCATGCCGATTCGCCGCTGCTCCTCGCCCCCTCCGCCAGCGTGTGCGGCCCGCCAGGAGGCCCGCCTGAAGAAGAACCACGTCAACCTCAACTTCTGGTACGACGTCGGCGTGGCCATCATGAGCGGGAAAGGACATCGTCGTCGTTCGACGTCGCCACCGCCGTCATCGTCGTCAGCGTCGTCGTCGTCGCCGCCGCTGTCGTTGTCCTCGTCGTCGCAGTGGTCGTCGTGGTCGTCGTCGTCGTGGTCGTCGTCGTCGTCGTGGTCGTCTTCGTCGTGGTCGTCGTCATCGTGGTCGTCGTCGTGGTCGTCGTCTGTGTCGTCGTCTTCGTCGTCGTCGTCGTCGTCGTCGTCGTCGTCGACGTGGGAGTCGTTGTCGTAGTCGTCGCCGCCGTCGTCGTCGTCGTCGTCGTGAGTGTCGTCGTCGTCGTCGTCGTCGTCGTCGGTTCGCGGCCAGTCGTTCACTCCCCATCCCCTTCCCCTGCTTTCTTGGCGATACACATGTTATCGGTAGCACTGCTCGCGGGCCCTGAGGAATCGGAGGTTCGGGGGTGCGACCGACGTGAGACGTGAGCTGCCCCAGCCAGGACGCCGTGTCGCTTCGTGCGTGGCGTGCTAGCGAGGCGAGGTGAGGCGCAGCCTGCGTGAGTTCCGCCACTGGCTTGCGCCAAGTTGGACGCCAAGGAGGCGCCCCCGCGTCGCCAGTCCTTTGTCCCGGTTGTTTCGACGCTTGTCCTGTTGTTTGTCCCGTTGGTTGTCCCGATGGTTGTCCCGATAGTTGTCCCGTCCTGGTGGTTGTCCCGATAGCTATCCCAGTGGTTGTTTCGCTGGTTGGGCCGATGGTTGTCCCGATGGCTGTCCCGATGGCTGCTCCGATCGTTGCTTTGATGGTATTCCCGATGGTTGCCCCGATTTTTTTCTTCTCCCCCCGAACGTTGTCTCGATGGTTGTCCCAATAGGCGATATCGTGCGGTACTTTGAACCTTGGATGCCTATGTACATATCTGTATACAGACAGTAGGACGCACAGACAGTGTAACACACATATAGCTTGAAGGAGTCCGCCGCATGCGCCGAGATCTGTCACACATAGCGCGACGAGCCCGCCGCATGCGCCGATTTTTTTCATCGACGCAACGGGGGTGGGTCGCGGGTGGGTCGCGGGTGGGTCGCAGGGCGGGTCGCAGGGTGGGTCGCAGGGTGGATCGCGGGCTGGTCGCGGCGTGGGTCGAGGGTGGGTTGCGGGCGGGTCGCGGGTGAGGACGACGACAACAACGCAGCGCTACGCTACAACAACAACAGCAATCTGCACAGCGGAACCCCACTTCAGCCACGCACTCAGGGACAGTGAACGACTGTTCGGCCCCATCACTCTGATATAGTGAACCAGTAGACAGTGTGACCGATAGATACATATGTGGGAATGGGGCATGGCTGTTACCATTGTTGTCCCGATTATTGACCCGATGGTTGTCCAGATATCTCATGGCATGTGCAGAGACATAGTCATTTCGATATACAGATAGCGCGACCGATATCTCTCTCTATATATACTGAGGTCGGAGAGGCAGGGTGGTTGCCCCGATGGCTGTCCCGATGAATAGGTTGTAAGATCGATCTACCCTGTGATCGTAAATCGAGAGACAGATCGTGATGCTGACCTGTATTTTTGTAGGTACGTGTATAGATATCCACCTATATTTTATATGTTTATGGACAGATGTATGGGTAGATCTAATGATTGTCGAGATGATTGTCTCAATGGTTGTCCAGATGCTAGTCTCGATGTCTGTCCTGACCTGTAGATCGTGAGATCGACACACATATGTCAGAGTGAGGGGGCCGAACTGTCATTCACTGTCCCTGAGTGCGTGGCTGAACTGGGGTTCCGCTGTGCGGATTGTTGTTGTTGTTTATGTTGCTGCTGCTTTTGTTGTTGTCGTTATTGTTATTGTTGTTGCTGCTGTTGTTGTTGTTGGTGGTGGTGGTTGTTTGTTGTTGTGCTTGTTATTACTTGTTTGTTGTCGTCGTCCCACCCGCGACCCGGTCTGCGACCAACCCGCGATCCTCTCGCGGCTCACCCACGACCCGCCCGCGACCCATCTGCGACCCACCCTGCGACCCAGCCGCGACCCAGTCGCGACCCACCCGCGACCCACCTGCCACCCACCCGCTACCCACCCACGACCCCCCCCCCAACTAACGCATTTACTTTAACGAAAATATTCGGCGCCTGCGGCGGGCTCGTTATATACGTTGCAGCAAAAAACAATCGTCGCCTGCGGCGACTTAAGAGCCTCGCAGGCTGCCGACGACTCCGCAGCCACTTTCCCTAATTTGCAGCTGCGAGGTGCTACATAGTTGCATATGTAGGTGTACATATATAACTGTGTTCATGTCTATGTGTGCAGGCATATTTAGTGCATATATATATGTATGGAGCGTTCGGTCATAGAGACACAGGAACAGCAATACATACATGAACACACATAGGCTTACGTCTATAGGCATGGGTTTGTACCTTGATTTCCAGATGTGTGCCCACTCGTCAGGCGGGGCCTCCTGGGGGTTCATCGGCTCTGGTGGAATGGGAACGGCACGAACCCTGATAGACGACGGCGCGGTCTGACTGCTCAAGTTGGATTTCTGGAGTGGGAAGGGCACGGAGTCTGACAGGTAACAGGATATTGCGATGGCTGACATGGTCTGGAGGGGTTTCTTTAGAGGGTCAGGCTGCGCAGCTTGGACTGGTGGAGTGGGAGGGGCACGAAGCCTGACAGATACAGGGCATTGAGATGGCTGGCGAGGTGCGGTCTGGCGGGGCCTCCCTGCAGGGTCAGGCAGCGCTGGTGGGACTGGTGGGGTGGTAATGGCACGAAACCCGGCAAACGTCATGCATTTCCGATGGCGATCGCGGTCTGGCGGGGCCTCTTCAGAGGGCCCGACGGCGCTGGTGACCTCTTTGGGGGTGGAAGTTGGAGGGCACGAGCGCTGACATATTCACAAGCGGCAATCGCGCCCCAGCTCTTGCACGAGGGAGCGGCGAGCGACACGAGGAGCAGGGCGATGATAGGGGGCGACTGGGAAGGAGGGCGACGAGTGACGATGACGAAGGGCTCTTGGCCACGGGGGGGGGCATCGGACCAGGGAGCTACTGTAAATGGCTCGTGTTTTAAGTCGGCCCATGAGATTCTCGGGACCCTGGGGTCGGATGTGGTCTTTCTCCAGGAGACCAAGCTGATGGGCGACAAGTTGCTCTCGGTCAAACGGAAACTTCTGGCCGAGGGCTGGCTTTCGTTCTGGGGACCCGCCGAGCCTGGGGAACCTGGACATTTCAAATCTGGAGTGGCTATCTTAGTTCGGAGGCATTTGGATGCTTGGGAGGACTCTGAGGAGGTTGTTGGCATCCCTAAGTCTCGGGCCATTACTTGCTATCTTAGAACATCCAGCTTCGGCGTTATTCAACTCTGTTCGGTGTACGGGTATTCGGGAGAGGGGCTTAGCCATTCAAATGTTTTGCTGGGCAAATGGTTTGGGGACAAGGTGTGCCGTACTGGTCTGCCGTTTGTCCTGGGGGCCGATTTCAACCTGGACCCGTCCGTGTTGGCTACTGGGCTCCCTCCTGGACGGTTTGGTGGTGAAGTGCTGCATGCCCCTAATGTGCCCACTTATGTGTCTGGCGATGTGAGTACGACATTGGATTATTTCGTCACCTCAAAGATTTTTTTGCACTGCGCCCCGAGAGTCACCGTGGATTTGAGTGCGGCGCTTTCGCCTCATCGCCCAGTTCGGCTCTGCGTAGATATTCAGACGGAGGTCAGGATGGTCCATAAGCTTATCCCTTACCCTTCCATCCCCATCTCTCTCCCCGTTGGCCCCCCTCCTGCTCCTCCCTCCTATGCCCTGGTGGCTCGGAGGTTGGAGGTGGCTGTAAATTCGTGTCGCCGCGAGGGTGGCCCGCATTTTTCTGCTCCAGGTTCTGAGGCCCAACACCAGGACCTGCAGCAGGTCTTTGGACTCGGCCTACCTAGAGTGGGCAGACCTTGTCTGGAGCGAGCTGTTAGGCCTGTTCCAGACCGACGAGAAGCCAGGACACTTACGTGGGGGAAAGGGTTGTGTTCCAGGAGGTCCCTGTGGCCACGCTTTTCCCCACCAAGGTAAAACCTCAAGTTGTCGGCCTCCAGGGCTGTTTTTTGGGCGGCCAACCGCCTTCGGGAAATTTTGTGTTTGCACCAGAGATGCCCGAATGCCTGGGATCATCCGTATTTTGTGAAACTCCTTCAGCACACCACCCAGCTTGTCAGGAAGGGAGGACCGTTCCGCACTTTCTGGAAGGCTGGTGGAGCTGTTTGGCATCAGCATCTCGCTGATATCGCTTGGAGGATCCTCAGGCACCCGACGGATTTTTGGTACGGCTCAGTAGCCGACCTCACTTTCTGGGAGGAGCATGCTAGGTTATGCGCCCGACATTTGCTGTCCAAAGATCGTGCTGACCAGCGTGCTTCTTGGAATGAGTGGTGCGAGACCGCGTTGGCGGGTGGTGCTAAGTGGGGGCATTCGTACACCCGTCTTGCTGCTGATCATTGTTTCAAGCATGTCCCCACTGTTGATGGCCCTTCAGCCAGTATAGATGCGAGGCTCAAACACCATGCTCGCGAGTGGGGTCAGGCTTGGGCTGAGGTGCCGAATCAGGTTCGGCGCTTTCGTGACCTGGCCGGCTTGCCAGTGCCCGCTGCCCCTGGCGCCGATCGGCTACGCGAGCTCTCCCAAGCCTTCCCTCGTGCCACTATTGCAGTAGAAGGTTTGCACCCTAGACATTATTCTCACTTGTGCTCCGAGGGCCTGGATGCGTTGAACAGTTTGTTTACCCTTATGAATATCTTGGGAACCCAACCTACTGATATTCAGCTTCTTCGCGTTCAGATGTTTCCAAAACCTACTGGAGACCTCAGGCCTATCGGATTTTTTTCAGATTTTGGTTCGGCTTTACTCCAAAACGCTTGCTCTTCACAGTCGGTCGTGGGAGAAATCGGTCCTGGATGCCAAGGAGTTCTACATGGCCCCCACAGGCACACCACGGACGGTATTTGGCGTGTTTCAGTATAAGCGATTCTCGCTGATTCCCAAGATAGGAGTG